ATTTGAGTGGAGCTTTGGAATATTTAAAATGAACTTTGGATATTTGGGAGATATTTGAAAATATTTGGAAACCCCTCCGGTTGAGATATGCATTCAACACGGCCATCATCGGGGTGTTTGAGGTAATTTCCATATGTTAAACCTTGTCAACCCTATCAACTTGCCGATAGGGGATCAGATTTCGTAGGCTTCGTGCCTTTGTTAGTGAATTCTATTGATTTTAGGCCTTGAAGACCTAATATGAATATGTTAAAACAAATGCACTGGTCGCCACAACCATATATTTGTTTGTTGGTTCGAACTTTGTCGACTTCTATTGATCTGTATAGAAGGATCGGGTTTGAACTTGAATTCACTTGTTGACCCGCGCAGCATCCCTAGACGTCACGTGTGTACCAATAACACGCTCGTCGGGGCCCATACGGGTGTTTGGGGGCATTTCATGATTAAACCCTATCGATTCCTTTTATCTTTTAAGGAGGATCGGGTTTAAATTTAATAACCCGTGCAGCATCCCTAGACGTCACGTGTGTACCAATAACACGATCGCCGGGGCCCTTGCGGGTGTTGATTGTATACCCTCTTTTAGTGTACCTAAGTGTGTACAAACTACAGTGCACGTGAGAGGGTATTTTAGAATATTTGTGAAATGCCTTCTGTCCGCTTCCAAGAACATCGCGGATTCGGTGGCGCGGCGTAGTAGCTTTTTAATAGAGTTGTTCGCTGCTTTATACAGGTTGACTGTCGTGCACTACTCGTTGCGTTCTGCAGGTGGATCGTAGTGGACTAACCAATCTCCTCCCTTGTTCGTAGATGCTAGTATTCATTGTAGTTCTTTGGAATTTGTTTGTAGATTATATGTAATATTCGTAGCGGGGCAAGAACTCGTGGGAGCTTGTCTCTGTCATATTTCTTATGCACTTTGTTGTGGTCTTTGGACTTTTCAGTGCATCCGCTACTGCTGCATGTAGGTAGGTAGATGTCTTCCATCATAGACTGAAATTGCATCAGGATACTGCATTCACTGAAGCCTTTCTGCATCTACCCCTGGGTGACATGTGACACATACATTTGTCTTCGTAGAGAGATCATATGTGTTGCAGATCTTTTGTCTTCGTATCATGGCTTTGTAATCAAGCTGTCTTTCTCACCATCTTCTTATCACTTGCAAATAGATTACCCTTGCAAATTCTTTTCCTTCAAAGATAGTTTAATGTGCGTGATGAGTTTGAAATTCTTCATTGAAATGACGAATACTCATTGAAGACTTTGTAAGCATGAAGATATTATTGCATCTCTCTTTTTGATATTTGCTTGTGGGTAGATCATATGTCCTTAATCCTTGTTGATGGTTGCTTGCAAATCAAATGATGATTGAATTATTGAACATTATAAATGTTTCTATTCCTTATGGCTCTTCTAATGTTGCTCACTAACATGTTACATCCCTTGTGCATGATTGTAGGTGAATACTTTGGCATTGGTTACAAGAAAACCTTGAATCATCATATTCATCAAGAGCCTTTCTAGTGAATCAATACATTCACTACAAATAAATTAGGAATGAACTAGCTCCAATATTATGAATCAATTGGTACGGTCCAAAAGCTTATATTATGAGTTTATAATCAAACCAAGTTCCTTAGTCTTCTTTTATTGCTTACAAATGAACTTCATTTGCAAACTTCTTACTTTGATGATTCAATATGCATGATAAGTCTAATATCATCACTTATCAACATCTTCATCTTAATTAAAATGATCTTTACATATTAGAAAATATCATTCAAAAGTTTCATGTCAAAGTTTGGAAAGGATTTACACATGGGTCCTTGTTTGCTTGCAAGCCATTATATACTTGAAAGTGACTATTTAATATTCATTTGAAATTCCTTATAGGCTTATACTGTTGTTCATAAGCATTATTCAATGCCAAGTTCACTTGAGTTCAAGTATGAGCTCAATGTCATTATAACTCAAATCACATTCGAGTCCAAATTTTTAATGTCAAAATTAAGCTTTTATTTGTTTCATTTGAGTACAAATTGGCTCATCACTAATTATATTTCTCTTAATATTCATGTTCATTCAAATTTGGCTTATTGTCATTTAGGTCCCTTATTTCTTCAATTAAGTTCAAGTTTGAATTATTGAGTTAAATTCAAGTTAAGTTCAATTTGATGTTCAATTCAAGTTCTTGCTCAAATCAAGTTCCATGTCACATTGACTTCATTTCGAATTTGAATCAAATGCTTGCAAGTTCAAGTTTTAGTCAAAATTCTGTCTTTTTGTCCAAGTCCAATGCAGTCCAAAAGTTTACAAGTCCTTGTCTTTTTCAAACAAAATTTCGGAAACCTCCCGGCGTCTCCCCCGTTTAGGGGAAAAAACCAAGAGGCCGCCTACCCGCCATGTCAACAAAGACGTCCACGGTTGGTGTTTGTGAGACACCGCAGCGGTGATTTTTTTGTTTTTCGCCTACCACGCCAACAAAGGCGTGCATGGGGTTTTAAAAAGCATTTTTTAATGAAAAGTATTTTTTATTTTTTATTTTTTTTAGACAGTTTGCTTTCCCCCCGCTCGGGGGTATTTATGAGTGACCCCGTTTCGCCGTACGTGCAGCACCAGGGCCCCATCCCACCACGCGCAACAAAGGCATGCATAGGACGGTTCTCCGGTTTGCCACGAATATTGAAGTAGGGTTTTGCTGATTTCCCGCTTCGTCGCAAGCATCGAAAAGACATTCTATCCCACCACGCGCAACAAAGGCGTGCATAGGCGGTTTTCTGGTCCGCTGCGAACAACAAAACGAGAATCTGAGTTGGAAATTCATACCATTGCGATGGTTGTAGAGTCTGCGATATGCACAAACACAACACATTTCCTTTTTTTTCTTTTATTTCTCTTTTTTTTATCGCTCTTACATATACACATACATAACAGTTACAATAAAAAAAAATAAAAAAAATCTTGACTGTATCAAACTCCCCATTCAATTGGAAAGCCATTGCACTAGGAACAAAGTCACGGTTTGATTAGATCCTCTAATATCTATCAGAGATCTGAAACTAAGGTAATAGATTGTGTCTTCTTCTTCTCCTGAGTCGTTTGATTGGTCTGTGGGAGCTGTAGCTTTCTCGGTTTTAGAGATCCATAGTGGAAGATGTAAACAAAGATAGTTCTAAGACAACCTAAGCTGAACAATTCCCTTAGGATTAGAGGTTTGATGGTATAGATTTAATGGGCCAAAATTTGAGATGGGAATGGCTGCTTGAACTTAGAATGAGATAGTCCTAGGATTGCACATGTATGAGGATGTAAGTAGGCTGTTAGTAGAGGAGCTCAAACAATAAGCTCCACGTGAAACAACGAGATGGGAATCTTTGTATGGAAAGCTGCTTGTCTGCTCCAATTACTGTCCAGTAAAGTGGAGATGAAAGCTATTAAATTGATGGTGAAGGTTTGAGTGGGGACTTGGATTTTTGCAGCTGAACTTGAGACGAACAGATGCAGGCGTTGCCCTGTGAGGTGGAGGCGGCTTGAAGTCCAGTAAGGTGAAGGCGTGAGCTGGCTGGACTTGGGATTTTGAGAAGAGTTGTGGAGGGATTTCCGGTCGTGGGATCGGAAGGCAGAGCAGGTGACGGAGAAAGAAAACGGGTGGGAGCTTGAATTGCTTTGATTGGGGACAGACAAGAGAACGAGAGGTTGAAGAAAGCTGAAACTGGAAGGCGTTTTAACTGGAAGTTGTCTTCCCCCATACCACCATGGCCCACTATAGCTGGAAGAGAAATGTTTCTGTACAAAGTAGTTACCCGATGCTCATTTGATGGATTCCTCAGCCACTCCATAACAAGCTCCTTATCCTTGCCATGCCCCATGAGATCATTTCTAGGCAAGGATCCCGTTTCACGCGCTCCGTGCAGCTCAAGCTGTTGCTTCTGATGCTCCTGCTTTGCATATTCTAAGAAGAATGAGAGGAATTTTTGGATTCATGCTGAGACAGATAGGAGGTTTTGAACGGCAGAGGGGGGCCGTGAGCTACAAGGAAGCTCGTGAGAAGTCTTGGACCAATCAAGGACTTGAGTTTAAACGAGCCTAGCGACATCCGAGGAGAAGATATTTTCAGCGGGATATCGGGGATTTGGTAGGGATTTTGCACAGGATTCAGAGCAGCTAATATGAGGTTTGCATGACATGGTCTCCTGATTCACATTTGACTTTTGATTTCTCTTTTCCACTTGACTTAAAAGAGAAAATTCCATTAATTAGGCTTTGAAATGGCAAAAAATTGCTAATCAACCAAAACAAATCATCAATTTGTGTGATTTCCTCGGTTTGCGAGCAATGTCTCGTTTTTTTGTGCATTCTTTCCTCGTTTTACATGTCAATTCGCCGAATATCAAAATTATACAAATTAATAGTGGAATTAGGGTATTGTCGATGTCTCGGTCGCAATGACACAGTCCGTTTCGTGATCGGACGTCGTTTGGGCGATGACGAGGCTTAATTCCCTTGAAATGCTCGTTGTCTAGATTTGCGCGCAAAACCTTATTCGAACAAATTGACAGCGCATTCATAGTATTGACGGTTTTCTAGACCCAATGATGCATTCCGTTTTGCGATTAAACATTGTTTGATGATAGTCGAGGCTAATCTCCCTCGAAATGCTTGCCTTTGCAACATATTTGAATAGCCTTTGATATTTACGACGTCACCTCAAATGATGCAATTTAATCAAATAAAATGTATACACTTAATGTTGACGACGTTCTGGAAGCAATGACGCAGTCCGTTTCATGATTGAACGTCATGTAGTCTCCGAAGAGGCAAATTTAATTGAGATGCGTGACTTCGCATCACATTTGGATCGCCTTTGAAATCTGCGACATCACATCAAACGATCCAAATTTATTAAATAAAATGTATATCCTGAATGTCGACGACTCTCCGGACGCAATGGCTCTGTCCGTTTATCGATTGGATTTCGTCCGAGCGTCTTTGAGGCCTCATTTCCTTGATATGCGCATCTTTGCATTACATTGGGATTTGTGTTACCAATCTAGATACTCCAAATGGAATAAACAAAATGTAATTTTCATAGGTTGGCAACATTCTGGATGCAACGATGAAGTCTATTCGTCGATCGGGATCGTTTTATCAGTCTTGCACTTTAATTTCGGGTGTCGGTCGTCCCTTTTGACCGATCTCGTCCGATTCGATTGCGAGGAGCCTCGACCCAGCAGAGTTCAGTGTCCTGATCACAACGATACCATCCATTCGGTATTCGGAGGTTATTTGATCCCTTAAGTGATGCATTTTGTCAAAGCACACATTGCCTAAACCGTCTTTTTCGCCTCTTTTCGCATGGTTTTATGTGTAGGGGTCAACAAATGCCCCCCAACAAATGTAATTCGCGTCCAGAGCGAATCACGTTTGTTGTATGATGATTGACCCTGTGAATCATTAGATATTTATTCTGGATGTCACACATAAATGTCTTCATTTATCGGATCTCCAAAAGCTTATTTGGATGTCATGCTGGGGTCTTCATTTAGTGGATCTCCAAAAGCTCACTTTGATGTCACACTAATATTTTCTTTCTTCAAAGATCTCTTCGATGTAACAATAGATAATTGAGATACTTATTTCTTTTGCCCTGTGCTTTGTGCTGCGGATATTGATGGAGAATTACCTTATTTATCTTTATTGACTTGTGAGATAGTTTTTATACATTCGGCCCTATGCTTCTTGCTTTTGCGGGCTTGATGAAGGAGTAGATGCCAGTGACATAAACCTTTTGGGTTCGTATAAGGTCGATGGCAAAAAGTTATCGGTCCAGAGTTTTGTGCATAACGGACTTGTAGATGATGAATCCTCTCAGTTCAGCCTTAGGCTTTGTGTGAACTTTGGGATAATTTTCTTCGATCCTCTGCTTTTTGCTTTGACGGACTTGTTGAAGAAAAATTCCTTCGATCCTCGCTTTGTGCTTTACGGATTTGTTGAAGGATTTTGCAGGTTCTGGATTAAGTTGATAGTACCGAACGTAGGTAGCATCTTGATCCTTAACCACTTGAGAAGACTAATCTCAATCACTTGAGTTCATCAGATCGAGAGAGCTAGAATTTGATAGTTATTTGTCCTCTGGTTGCTGAGATGGAGGTTCCTCTATTACGGCCTTTTTTATGGTGTATTGAGTAGACAGAGCTGCCAGCGATCAGGTCATATTTTGACGTGTTGTATCCGGTCTTTTACACTCACTCAGGCTTCAGACTTGAGCTATGAGAATTGCGCTTCCCCAATGCTAATTTTACTGAAGTTGGCAGATATGGAGTCATCCTTTGTGGTTGCAGATTTTGGAGCCTACGAACATTCGTTGGTTGTTCAAGACTCATCCTTCCACTGAAACTTTGATTCTCCAGTCATTTGAGAGAATCTGGTGGACTACGATCACTCAAACAAGTTGAATCAAATTTGCCTTCGTGCTTCCTACAGTCCCTACTGATGGATTGACGAAGTGGGGGTTCCGCTACTACGGCCTTTCTTATGGCTTGTTGAGTAGACGGAGCTGCCAGCGATCCGGCCATATTTGGGCGTGTTGGATCCGATCTTTTACACTCATTCAAACCTTAAGCTTCAGGTTGTTGGAAGACTTCAAGTTTTTTCGGCTCAATTTGTAGGAGCGTGCAGCCACAAAAGTCTCTTTCTTGACTTTTGAGTCTTAGTACGTTGGAGAAGATGGTGTCTCTTACTTTTGAAAAATCACCTGCATATACTTTGAAAAAGAAGCATTTGAATCCTTTAGGATAAAAGAACATTTGAATTGATAATTTTAAATATTTATTTGGAGATCTCGGCACACGGCGCGATATCGACCCAAATAAATATTTAAAATGCCCCCTGTATCCAAGGGTGGTTGTGAGCGTTATCACTATGGCCACTAGTTGTGGTTAGTGGTCATAGTTTTAGCTAAAATTTTGGAGATTATGGCTTTTTCTAGTCCTGTGCTTTGTGCTGCGGACTTATTAGAAAATGTGCAGGTTTTAGATTTGATTGATAATACCAAATATTGGTAACATCTTGATCCTTAACCACTTAGCGAGGCTTCAATCTGAGTCACTTGAGCTTGTCATATTGGGTGAGCTAGGATTTGATTGCTCTTCGTTCTCTGGTTGCTGAAATGGAGGTTCCTCTACTGCGGCTTTTTTATGGCGTATTGAGTAGACAGAGCTGCCAGCGATCCAGCCATATTTGGACGTGTTGAATCCGGTCTTTTACACCCACTCAGGCTGCAGACTTGAGATATGAGAATTGCGCTTTTCCAACGCTGAATCTGCTAAAGTTGACATATTCAAAATCATTCTTTGTCGTTGCAGATTTAAATTCTACGAGCATTTATAATTGCTCGAGACTCATCCTTTCCACTGGAACTTTGATTCTCCGGTCAATTAGGAGCATCTTGTGGACTACGACTACTAGAACTTGTCGAGTCAAATTAGCCTTCGTTCTTCCTGCAGTCCTTACTGACGGGTTGACGAAGTGGGGGTTCCGCTACTAAGGCCTTTCTTATGGCTTGTTGAGTAGACGGAGCTGCAAGCGATCCAGCCATATTTGGGCATGTTGGATCCGACCTTTTACACCCATTCGAACCTTAAGCTTCAGGCTGTTGGAAGACTTCAAGCTTTTTTGGCTCAATTTGTTGGAGTGTGTAGTCACAAAAGTCTCTTTCTTGACTTTTGAGTATTGGTTTGTTGTAGAATGTGTTGTCTCTATCTTTTGAAAGATCACTTGTATATACTTTGAAAGACAAGTATTTATAATCTTTAACACAAAAGAATATTTGAATTGATGATTTTAAATATTTATTCAGGAATCTCGGTCGCAGTGCGATGTCGACCCGAATAAATATTTAAAATGCCCCTGTCTTGCAGGGACAGTTTAGAATGAAATAAATTTGGAATTTCAAGATTTTAAATATTCATTTGGGGATCTCGTAGTGTAGTACGATGTCGACCCAAATGAATATTTAAAATGCCCCGTCTTATAGGGACATTTTGGGATAGAATAAATTTGGAATTTTAAAATTTTAAAAATTTATTTGGGGATCTCGGCGCATAGCACGATGTCAACCCAAATAAATATTTAAAATGCCCCCTGTCTCATAGAGAGATTTTTGATAGGCTTTGTATTTTAAAATTTTAAATATTTATTCGGGGATCTCGGCACGCATCGTGATGTCGACCCGAATAAATATTTAAAATGCCCCCAGTATGACGGGAGATTATGAAATGCATTCTTGCTACACAAGAGAATTTCAAAAACATGTACGAAATACATAGCATTTTCTTGGGCAATTTTATGTGTGGTATTTCATTAGATATCGACTGTTGATCGGCGGCATAAGTCTCCGACCCTCCAAGTCAAATAACTGATAAGCTCCTCCCTGGTACATCTCTCGATGATGAAAGGTCATTCCCAGTTGGATACAAATTTGCTAACAATTTTTTTTTAGTGTGGGATGATTGATCTCCTCAGCATCAGGAACATAGCGCTTGGCCTTTTGATGTATTAGCTCAACAAATACACGTGTTATTATCAATTGATAGGTGGCACTAGTGTTCCTTAGACCGAATGACATGATTGTGTAGTAGAATATGTTTATAGATGTTCTGAATGATGTGTGCTTTTCATTTTCAGTCGCCATCTTAAGTTAATTACATCCTGATGATCCATCCGTGAAGAAGAACATATCACAGTTGAAAGTGTTATCAACTATAACTTTTGATACTTAGAGCAGAAAATTATCTTTTGGGCACGCCTTATTGAGGTCCCAAAAATTGATACAGACACGAATCTGACCGTTCTTCTTCTTCACCGGGATGATATTTGCAATCCAATCGATATATTTTTCTTATCGGATGAAGCCTGCCTCTATAAGCTTTTTTGTTTCAACAATCACCTATTCTTCAATCCCAAATATCATTCTCCTTGGAGCTTGTTTGGTAGATGCGGCATCTAATTTGATGGCTAATCTGTGAATCTCCACATCAGAGGATAAGCTAGACATTTCAGCATATGTCCAAACAAAGCAATTCCTGAATTCATAGAAAATCTATTTTATTTCATCCGCTTGCTCTTTGAGAAGAACGTCACTGATGAAGGTCAGACGATAATCTCCTTCAGTCTGAGAGAATATATGAAGTGATGGGATTTCTTTGAGGTTTCCTCAAGGTGTCGACCATCAAGAATATTTTTTATAGGGGTCATCTTTGAGATCCACTTTTGATGAATTTCTTTGATGGTGGATCTCTAGGGGTACACACTAGATGTCACACCATTATTTAAAAATTTTTCTAGAGATGTGGGTCTCCATATTTATTTTTACTTATGTCGGGACCTTTCGTCAGTGGATTCTTAGATATGCATCCAAGTGTCACACCCCGATTCTCACCGTACACATCTTTATTCTTTCTTTGCTATATCATCATGAAAGATGGTAACTTTTAGCTCTATTGGGACCTTTAAGTGATGGATCTTTGGATATAAGGACCAAATGTCACATCTTAATGTTCACCGTATAGAGCTAAATATTATCATTACTTTTTTTTGCTGCTACTATAGCCTATAAATGACTAGCCAGAGATGGAAAGAGAAATCATTCCCCAGTGGAGTCGCCAGAAATCTATGGGCTCCTAAAATTCGGCCCCGGCCTTCGCGTCGCGCGATTTCTTTTTTATTCGGCGAGGGAGTTTTAACGGAGTAAGTTCTGAGGTAAATTTTGGAAGGCAGATGGGTTTGTAGATAAGACACTACCCAGATATTTTGCCCTCATTTTGCGAGGACTTTATGATCTGAGTTCTGGTTTCCTAAAGGCGCAAGCCCTTATAGTTAATTACCCCTCTCGATCACGAGAGAACTTTTGATTAAGGCTAGTCGTCAATCAGATACGTAGATGATACGTATTATCTAGCATATAGAAGCAGCATTAGGTATGGATTTGAAAAATTTTGGGAAGTTTGGGAATTTGGGAAATTTTATATTTAAAATAAAAATTTTCACCATCTTAAACTTAAAGCGGATGGTGGGGGAATGGATGATAGACCCGATCAAGATCTCATGGTTTCATCGTCCCGGGCCATCGTGGTCCCTTGTCTACTTAGTCAAAGGAGGTAGTCGACCCAACCTGACAGAAGGATCCTTCTCGGCAGTCATGGGTTGCTTCGTCCAAGGGGACCTTGTAGACGTGGGTTGAATATTTGTCTAAGGGGACAAATTTGAATCCACCTTAGCTAACAGAGGGCTTTGTGCCCTATCGATCATATCCTATTGATTCATATCTCAAGGATTTGATGCCATTAAGGAGCGTATCGGCCCTGGCCATAACCGGTATTTTGTGGAGCCATTTGGCGGCAAAACCACTTGGTTCAGAGGGCCCCGGGTCATAACCGTTTATCCTGCGGTGCCATTTGACGACGAATCGCCGGTCAGAGAACACGTATCACATCCTTACTGGCAGGAGGTTGTTTGATAATAGATCCTAGTGATATTTTTGACTAGACATTTAGCTCTTTTGTAAGCTGAGGTAAAATTTAATTTGTCCACCCCGATAAACTATTGCGGAGGGTGGATGGATTTTACTTTAAGAAATTGATGGATTTATTTCAATTTTAAATATTTTTTTATTTTGGAATTTTTAAAATTTTGAATTTTCGAACATTTGAGTGGAGCTTTGGAATATTTAAAATGAACTTTAGATATTTGGGAGATAATTGAAATTATTTGGGAACCCCTCCGGTTGAGATCTGCATTCAACACGGCCATCATCGAGATGTTTGAGGTCATTTCCATATGTTAAACCTTGTCAACCCTATCAACTTGCCGATAGGGGATCGGATTTTGTAGGCTTTGTGCCTTTGTTAGTGAATTCTATTGATTTTAGGCCTTGAATGCCTAATATGAATATGTTAAAACAAATGCACTGGTCGCCACAACCATATATTTGTTTGTTGGTTCGAACCTTGTCGACTTCTATTGATCTGTATATAAGGATCGGGTTTGAACTTGAATTTACTTGTTGACCCGCGCAGCATCTCTAAACGTCACGTGTGTACCAATAACACGCTCGTCGGGGCCCATACGGGTGTTTGGGGGCATTTCATGATTAAACCCTGTCAACTCCTTTTACCTGTTAAGGAGGATCGGGTTTAAATATAATAACCCGCGCAGCATCCCTAGACGTCACGTGTGTACCAATAACACGCGCGTCGGGGCCCTTGCGGGTGTTTGGGGGCATTTCATGATTAAACAATGTCGACTCTTTTTACTTGTTAAGGAGGATCGGGTTTAAATTTAATAACCTGCGCAGCATCCCTAGACGTCACGTGTGTACCAATAACACGCTCGCCGGGGCCCTTGCGGGTGTTGATTGTATACCTTCTTTTAGTGTACCTAAGTGTGTACAAACTACAGTGCATGTGAGAGGGTATTTTAGAATATTCGTGAAACACCTTCTGTCCGCTTCCAAGAACATCGCGGATCCGGTGGAGCGGCGTAGCAGCTTTTGAATAGAGTTGTTCGCTGCTTTACACAGGTTGACTGTCGTGCACTACTCATTTTTTTCTGCAGGTGGATCATAGTGGACTAACTAATCTGCTGCCTTGTTCGTAGATGCTTGTATTCGTTGTAGTTCTTTGGCATTTGTTTGTATATTATATATAATATTCGTAGTGGGGCAATAACTCATGGGAGCTAAATTCAAGTTAAGTTCAATTTTGAATTATTGAGTTAAATTCAAGTTAAGTTCAATTTGAGGTTCAATTCAAGTTCTTGCTCAAATCAAGTTCCATGTCACATTGACTCCACTTCGAATTTGAATCAAATGCTTGCAAGTTCAAGTTTTAGTCAAAATTCTATCTTTTTGTCCAACTCCAATGCAGTCCAAAAGTTTACAAGTCTTTGTCTTTTTCAGACAAAATTTTGGCAGCCTCCCGGCGTCTCCCCCGTTTACGAGAAAAAACCAAGAGGCCGCCTACCCGCCACGTCAACAAAGATGTGCACGGTTGGTGTTTGTGAGACACCGCGGCGGTGATTTTTTTTATTTTTCGCCCACCACGCCAACAAAGGCGTGCGTGGGGTTTTAAAAAAAAAATTTAATAAAATTATTTTTTATTTTTTTTTTTTTTAGACAGTTTGTTTTCCCCCCGCTCGTGGGTACTTATGAGTGACGCTTCGCCGTACGTGCCGCACCGGGGCCGCATCCCACCACGCGCAACAAAGGCATTCTTAGGACGGTTCTCCGATTTGCCACGAACATTAAAGTAGGGTTTTGGTGATTGCCCGCTTCGTCGTAAGTATCGAACAGGCGTTCTATCCCACCACGCGCAACAAAGGCGTGCATAGGCGGTTTTCTGGTCCGCTGCGAACAACAAAACGATAATCTGAGTTGGAAATTCATACCTTCGCGATGGTTGTAGAGTCGACGAGATGCACAAACACAACACATTTCTTTTTTTTTTTTTCTTTTCTTTCTCTTTTTTTTTATCGCTCTTACATATACACATACATAACAATTACAATAAAAAAAAAATCTTGAATATATCAAACTCCCCATTCAATTGGAAAGCCATTGCACTATGAACAAAATCACGGTTTGATTAGATCCTCTAATATCTATCAGACATCCGAAACCAAGGCCATGGATTGTATCTTCTTCTTCTCCTGAGTCGTTTGGTTGGTCTGTGGAAGCTGTAGCTTTCTCGGTTTTAGATATCCATAGTGGAAGATGTAAACAAAGATAGTTCTAAGACAACCTAAGCTGAATAATTCCCTCAGGATTAGAGGTTTGATGGTACATATTTAATGGGCCAAAAATTTGAGATGAGAATGGCTGCTTGAACTTAGAATGAGATGGGCCTTGGATTGCACAGGTATGAGGATGTAAGTAGGCTGTTAGTAGAGGAACTCAAACAATAAGCTCCACGTGAAAAAACGAGATGGGAATCTTTGTATTGAAAGCTGCTCGTCTGCTCCAATTTCTGTCCAGTAAAGTGGAGATGAAAGCTATTAAATTGATGGTGAAGGTTTGAGTGGGGACTTGGATTTTTGCAGCTGAACTTGATGCAGGCGTTGCCCTGTGAGGTGGAGGCGGCTTGAAGTCCAGTAAGGTGAAGGCGTGAGCTGGCTGGACTTGGGATTTTGAGAAGAGTTGAGGGATTTCCGGTCGTGGGATCGGAAGGCAGAGCAGGTGACGGAGAAAGAAAATGGGTGGGAGCTTGAATTGCTTTGACTGGGGACAGACAAGAGAACGAGAGGTTGAAAAAAACTGAAACTGGAAGGCATTTTAACTAGAAGTTGTCTTCCCCCATACCACCATGGCCCACTATAGCTGGAAGAGAAATGTCTCTGTACAAAGCAGTTACCCGATGCTCATTTCATGGATTCCTCAGCCACTCCATAACAAGCTCCTTATCCTTGCCATGCCCCAGGAGATCATTTCTAGGCAAGGATCCCGTTTCACACGCTCCATGCAGCTCAAGCTGCTGCTTCTAATGCTCCTGCTTTGCAATTTCTAAGAAGAATGAGAGGAGTTTTTGGATTCATGCTGAGAAAGATAGGAGGTTTTGAACGGCAGAGGGGGGGACGTGAGCTGCAAGGAAGCTCGTGAGAAGTCTTGGACCAATCGAGGACTTGAGCTTAAACGAGCCTAGCGACGTCCGAGGAGAAGATATTTTCAGTGGGATATCGGGGATTTGGCAGGGATTTTGCACAGGATTCAGAGCAGCTAATACGAGGTTTGCATGAAATGGTCTCCTGATTTACATTTGACTTTTGATTTCTCTTTTCAACTTGCCTTAAAAAAGAAAATTCCATTAATTAGGCTTTGAAATGGCAAAAAATTGCTAATCAACCAAAACAAATCATCAATTTGTGTGATTTAATCGGTTTGCGAGCAATGTCTCATTTTTTTGTGCATTCTTTCCTCGTTTTACGTGTCAATTCGCCGAATATCAGAATTATACAAATTAATAGTGGAATTAGGGTATTGCCGATGTCCCGGTCGCAATGACACAGTCCGTTTCGAGATCGGACGTCGTTTGGGCGACGACGAGGCTTAATTCCCTTGAAATGCTCATTGTCTAGATTTGCGCGCAAAACGTTATTCGAACAAATTGGCAGCGCATTCATAGTATTGACGGTGTTCTGGACCCAATGATGCAGTCAGTTTTGCAATCGGACATTGTTTGATCATAGTCAAGGCTAATCTCCCTCGAAATGCGAGCCTTTGCAACATATTTGAATTTCCTTTGAAATTTACGAATTCACCTCAAACGATCCAATTTAATCAAATAAAATGTATATTCTTAATGCCGACGACATTCTGGATGCATTGACGCAGTCCATTTCATGATTGGACGTCATGTCGTCTCAGAAGAGGCAAATTTCATTGAGATGCGTGTCTTCGCATCACATTTGGATCGCCTTTGAAATATGCGGCATCACATCAAACGATCCAAATTTATTAAATAAAATGTATATCCTGAATGTCGACGACTCTCCGGACGCAATGGCTCTGTCCGTTTATCGATTGGATTTCGTCCGAGCGTCTTTGAGGCCTCATTTCCTTGATATGCGCATCTTTGCATTACATTGAAATTTGTGTTACCAATCTAGATACTCCAAATGGAATAAACAAAATGTAATTTTCATAGGTTGGCAACATTCCGGATGCAACGATGAAGTCTATTCGTCGATCGAGGATCGTTTTATCAGTCTTGCACTTTAATTTTGGGTGTCGTCGTCCCTTTTGACCGATCTCGTCCGATTCGATTGCGAGGAGACTCGACCCAGCAGAGTTTAGTGTCCTGATCACAACGATACCATCCATTCGGTATTCGGAGGTTATTTGATCCCTTAAGTGATGCATTTTGTCAAAGCACACATTGCCTAAATCGTCTTTTTTTCCTCTTTTAGCATGGTTTTATATGTAGGGGTCAACACTTCCATTATACAAACATAATGTGGCGTGCACCAAAATGAAAAGAGAAGGATAACTGCAAGCCAAGCTTGTGATGTGCTCTGCTGTAGAAAACAGTCATCACTGCTCCAAAAAAGTTGGTTATTCCAAAGAGATTAAAAGATGATTATCCAAGATCATGAATCCATGAATGCATATATGCATGGGGAAAGGATTACCATTTTGATAATCCACAAATCAAAATTGCAATATTGAAGGATTTTGAAAAGCAAGAAAAAAAAGTTGAAATAGATTGCTAAGTCAGCATAAAAGTGCCATTATTACAAATATGCAAATTATGTTAGCAGACACTATAGAGAAAATATTTACAACCTAATCAGAACATTTAGAAAAATTGCAAATCTATAGATCTATGAACAAACACTCATCCATTCATAGGCGCACTAAATTCATGCATAATTTTGTAAGTGTATGCACCTTATAAATGAGAATTAAATAGTGTCCTAATCAACTAAAACAAAATGTATTATAGCAACAAAGCACATTTCAAGACCATTCTCAACTTTTCTAGGAAATAATTGGAACATGAAAATGATGTTGAAAATTGTAAGTTGAACTATTTTTAAATAAATAACAAGTATAAATTCTTACCAACTTATTAGCAATATGTTGTAAGTCAATTCTTGGAATTAGCTTCACTGTCACCTTTTGTCGCACATCGTCTACATCAACAACCTGTAGATGTAAATCTAGGATGTTAGAAAAATTTTCCATGTTAGACAAACTAAATGGGCACCTAAACACATGCATACCTTGGCAAGGTCTCCTTTATAAATTCCAAGTTTCATCCTAACCCATGTGTCCCTGGAAATCTCAATAGTTTTGCTTTTAACAGAAAGAACATCCGTCATTTCTTTGATAGGAACTAGCATGACCTTGGCTGAACTATATATCGTGCGCAAACCCTTACAAGCCTGATCATAAAAAACCGTCATTTCACATAATCTTTGAACAGATTCTTATGACGAAAAGACCTAAACACAACCACACAATAGTTTTATATGAATGGAGTTATACAAACCTCCTTCACATGGGCTTCTTTATCGGCTTCAACATATATGTAATTTTTAAGAAAGTCCAATGCAACCACTGATCTAATATGCAGGCCAGGCATGTCCATAAACTTTTGCATGAGGCACATTGCAGTCTCACGCTCACGACCAATCTTGCATTTATACAAGACAAGTGTTGAGGAACATGAAAAATACAATAAAATAGGTAGAAAATCTATTGCAAAAAAAAACATTATAGATGGATGAAAAACCTACAGCACATTTCACCAGCCACAACTTGGGGTCTTTTACCGACGGCAGTAGATCTTGTTGTTCAACCTCAGTGGCATCCTCACCATATTCAATGTGGCTTGACTTTGCGTATCTTTCATAAACTTGCCTCTCCATCTCTTCAACATCCTCTTGATCCTCCGGCATCATATTCAATGGACGATGTGCTCTTCTACCACCACTCTCATCAGGCAAGTCAGTTCCAGCATCATTAATAAAATCTGCAATTGTTTACATAACCATTGATAATTATGCTCTTTTGAATGGTCAAGTTTAGTAGCAGAAGGATGCGACTAAACTAAGAGCACACAATTTTATTGTGGTTGCAAAATCTACTTTCCAAGTACATACAGACACTCACTAAAAATATGTAGTAATTTAAGTTAAACAGCACATGAGAAGAGATCAACAAAAGAAACATTACCGTCTTCGGCCTCCTCATCTTCCTCTTCCTCATCGTCACTATCGACCTGGGCCTCAAGGTCGAAGAACTCAGAACCCCTCTTCCGATATTTCTGGCCGCGGCCACCGTATAGCTCCTCATTCTCGTCTTCTTCATCTTTGTATTCCTTGTCATGATCGTCCTCTATGGCTGCATCGTCAATGAAATCGGACCGAACCCGCTTCCTCCCACCTGTCCTCCTCCTGTAGTCTTCGTTCTCTTCTTCCTCTATCTCTTCATCATCTTCCTCCTCTTCATAATCGTCTTCTCGGTGACGAGACATCCCGTTACTCCCTCCGCTTTAAGATTTGACGTGATTTGCGAAATCCTGAGTGGTTGGATCAACAACAGCGAATCCTTCCTTTCGAATTGTTGGGAAAGATTTATATAAATTTTGCTAGCAAAAATAAGCTTTAAGTTTGTTCAGCAAAACCGCCAAAGCGGGAGAGGCGGAGGGGGAAAGCGGGAGAGGCGGAGGGGTTTGAAACCGAAAGCTCAAAAGAGGGGTTGATTGCTGCGCGAGTCGCTCCTCTCAGCATATTTATCCCGGTTCGAGCGAACAGAACAGACTGAAACGCAACGGTTTAGTTACTTATTTAGAGAAATAAATTTAAGACTTGTTTAGATTTTATTAAGAATAATTTTTTTATTATATATATATATTTGTGTAACGGCTTCGTAACGGCGTTTAGGCTGTTTGGAAGAGTCGATCTACCTCTCGAATTATAGATCAAATGTATCTTTCTTTTTGGATTGAAGTTATAATCCAAAATCAGCCATTGATATTAGTATTTTTACAATTTTCCATTATTTATTTGTTGTTTATGTCTCCCAAGGCGTATCAAATTAATACCTCAATGATATAGGATTGGTTAAGTTATAGAGTTTCTAATGCAATTGAGGATGATATAATATAAAAATAAAATAAAAAACCAAAATTCACATGGTTCTAATACATAATTTTACTAGAAACTTGTTATCCTTAATGAATGGATGATAAATAGATTTTGTTCATTCTAAAATATAATGTAACAATCACCCAAATATGAAATTTCTCAAGAAATTGATATATAATAATAAATTCAACAACTAGTCATGGTAACAACACGTCAAAGAGATATATAATGCAGCATTATCCTTGAAAGAGGAGGACAATTTTCTTGAAGTTGTTGCAAATATGTGTAGACTAAGGCATCCTAATATTACAGGACTGATTGGCTACTCTGTAGAGTTTGTACAGCGACTATTAGTGTATGAATATATTGGAAATGCAAACCTCCACGATTTGCTGCACACTTATGATGATAGAAGCAAGAGACTTAATTGGAATGCACGATTTGCTTTGATTGTTGCTCTGTGCGTCCAGGTTTGATATTTTGTTCTTTCTTCTGTCTTCCATTATTTTCTATGAATTATTTCTAGGAACATTTATAAGGGTGGCACATAGTTAGATAAGGTTGATGGAGAAACTTAATATTATGTATGATTTATCGTTTTTTCATATATTGAAAAGACTTGTTATCTGAAACATAAGAATTTTCCATGGCTCATGCGACCAGAACCTGAATTCAGACCTCCAATGTCTAAAGTTGTGCAATTATTAGTAAGATTGGTGCAAAGAGGTAATGTGATCCGACGAGCTTCAGCTGAGGAGATTGAGATATCTTACCGGATTGTAGAAGAAACAGGTTCTGAGACATCCTCCTCATTGGTAGAAGGACGCCTTTTTATTTATTTCATGAAGATGAGATCACTTGAATGCAATTCCCAATCCTTGGAAGCAAAACTTTTTAGAAAATTCTAACCGTTGAAGTGGCAAATCAGAATAAGAATTCAGCTTTTATTAATCCTCCTGATCGTGCATGCATCTTATTGCAGTTTTAGACCATTTGATAAACATTTGATAAACAAATAAGCAGTTTTTTCTCTGAGAACATATGATGGATTCATGGATGAAATCAAGTCAGAAGTGCACCAACCATTAATATAAATGCCTGTTTTCATCTCAAATTTTTTTTTTTTCATTCCTCAATATAATATATATATATATATATATATATAGTCCTATGATTCCACCTCACATTGTTGATTGTGAAAACATTACATGTGAATTTATGAATGTATTATTTAAAAAAAAATCAAATGTCAAATGATATTTATAAATGATTGTAATTAAAAAAAAAATCATAGAAAAATATGTATATGATCATTCTCCTTTCCCCCCTCCATATTTATTTGAGTAATAAAATAAATTTCAAATCGAAGCAATTGCGGAATTGATCTCCCTATTCAGCCTTGCAAAAACACCCACCATCGGCGCCGTGTTATATGTGCACGCCTCCGTCTGCATAAAATTGCTCCGCACATCCCTAAACCCGTCGGCCGAATCCGGTCCGCCAACCACCGCCCCGACCACCACGTGCGGGTTCGACCGGTTCCTGCCGAACCATCGGTGGTACCCTTCCGTACATCCTACGAAATCTCCCCCGCCGCCGCCAGAGGATGCGGCGCGATGATGGACTCGGCTCGGGTACCGATGGCCGAATCCGACGAGGTAGCTTAGGCGGAGGGGATTGTCTCCGAGGATGTAGTCAGCCTGAGTGCGGGCGAAAGAGAGCAGAGCGGCGGAAGGCACGGCGGCGTCGGTGGGGCAGCGGAGGAAAAGTCCGGCGCTGGCGAGGTGGTCGGAGTAAGTGGCGAGGAGGAACGCGGCCGTTGAGACGTATTGAAGATTGTTCCATTGCCGGACGTAGAGGAGGCCCGCGGGAGTTCGCCGGACATTTTTATTCGCTCTGGAGTTATTGCTTGGTCGGTGGAGATTGAGGCACGCGCATACGTAATGCTCCCCCTTTGATTTGTATTCTTCGAGGATCCGACGCTGATGAGTGCTCAGCTTTGGTCCTTCATCCATTAGAAGCTGTTGAGGTTTGGATGATTTTTTTTTTTTCCTAAATTATAGATCAAAATATTAATTTGCATAAATAAAAAAGCGAAGATATTGATTGATTGCTTGCCTTAGCTGCCATAAGCTGAAGCCCCGCATACTTAATATCCCAACTAAACTCAGAAACAGCCCACGTGGCCCCGCCAAGCTCGTACGCATTATTCACCACATAATCCAAGTACTGGGAGTCGCCGGTGGCCCGCCGGAGCCACAGCGCCGCCCACAGTAGCTCGTCCCCGTAGCCGCTCAGCGACGGATAATATCCCTTGGCCGCCGGCACGCTGGAATCGTATCTTCCTCGCCGGCGGTCGGCGAACTCGAACAGCTCTCGGGCATGCCGAAGCAACAGAGCAGAGTACGACGGGCTCCAAGTCCGAAAGACCATAGAGGCCGCTGCCATCGCTGCCGCCGTCTCCGCCGCCACCTCGGAGCCCGGGTGGTCGGAATCTATCTTATATGCCCGGCGAGAGGTGGTCATGTCCTCCGGCCGTTGCCAGCAGTAGTGATCCGTTGAACCCTCACCTACCTAATTTGATTAATGGAAAGAGTAAAACAAGAATTTTGAGCTATTAATCAACAAAAAATAATAACTCTTTAAATTATTATTATTTTTTTCTTTTTTGCATGTAAATTAACATAATTTTAATTAGTAAAAAAATAGATGAAGTTGTTGGAGACGTAAGAAATTGAAAGGTAAGTTTGTAAATATCTTAGATTAGTTGTATCGAAGTGAAGTGAAAAATATTATGTTTAATTTGATACAATTTCTGTGAGCATAGGATGATATGAAAATTTTTTAATTGATTTTAAAATAAATATTTTTAAATTTTTTTTTTCAATGAAACTCAATTTTTTGAAAACAAATAAATCAAATTAGGATACACTGCTGATTAAAACTTAATTATAAAATAATATACTAATTGATTTAACTAGTTTTATAATATATATATATATATATTATAAATTTATTTGGAAATTGACTTTGAAATTTCTTAAATTTGATAGCCCCTAATCATAAAATAAATATCAAATCTTTTAAAATTTCCAAAAATTGAAACAAAAAAAAAAAACATTACGATTGACTTTGGATTGTTCGCGAACACAAGAATGCAAAACGTTTTACGATTTATCAATTGGAGCAATTTAGAAACGCCTAAGGCAGGTATGTAGGGAATGTTATTTACACTATTTAATGCGTTGTTTTTGCACAAATTAATTTAAATAAAAAATATGACAATTTATTTACATATTTACATTTAATATAAAGAATGACAAAGTCGTAACGCAAAATCATTTATTGCAATTAAAAACATTCAGAGGGCAGATCAAAACGTATATACATTACTAATGATTAATTAACCGATCGAAACAATTATATATGTTATATATATATAATTAGATTATAATGATTTGGAAAATTTAATTAATTATTAGAGGAGAGATTATTACCTGAACCCATAGAACGTCTGGATGAGTATGAGCTTTGAGAAAATAATCCGTCCCCCACTTAATAGCCTCCAAAGCATGGCGGCGCTCGCCGGCGCTGGCGATCTCATCGGCGTACTCAATCGCCGACCAGGAAAGCATGGTGATGGTAAATGCCATTGGCAGCCCAAACTTGACATGGTCTCCGGCGTCGTAATAACCTCCCACCAAATCCACCTTCACACACCGAACAATGAATGAGTTAGTTGAAATTAAGCATAAATAAATAAATTAAACAATCAAATTAACTTACTCCTTGTTGGAGACCATCTGTGAGGGCGGAGCTTTCTCTCCATTTGACTCTTTGAAGATGCGGAAGTCGACCAGAGCGCTGAGCTTCGAAGTAAAGGAGGCTTTTTGAAAGAGCTTCGCCATAGTTAAAGCTGGCTATGGCGCCCAATTGAGAGTTATAGTTAACACATAGAAGAAGAAGAAGAAGAAGAAGAAGAAGACGAAGATAGTATTGGCATAATGGCTTGAAGATGAAGAAGGAGAACTCCATTGATCGATTTCTGTTTTCTGTAAATTACTCAGAGAAAGGATTTGAGTTTTTTTATATATATATATATATATGAAGGGGGAGAAAGAGAAGAAGAGGTAGGAGAGGCTTTAGATTAATTAAAAGAGCAAAAATGAGGTTGACGGAGAGGGGGAGAGTGGGGCCGAAGATGCCAATGGGGACAGTCCACCGAATCTTATTTGATACATTATGAGGTAATTATTTGGGAGCGTTAATGTGTTTTATTGGTGGGGGCGTTGTTAATGCTTAAAGTAGTTATAGAGTACACTAAAAAGTAAATTTGAGTTTTAAATCGCCATTAGGGTTAATTTGAGATGAATATTGCTAAACTGGAACAGAAGATTGTTCAGAATATCTCAATATATATATATATATGTTTTTTATTTTTCAAGATTTATTCCCTAAACAATTTAAATAAAATTTCGATCACCAAAACATTTCCTTATTTTTGACTCGAATTTGATCCGACAAAATCACTGCAGTCAGCAATCTTTATAATTTCATTAGCGATTAGAAAAACTGCTACCAAGCAACTATTTCATTAGTGATTAGTCATATTAATTAAGGATTATATATAATCAATCGTTCACGCTGGTTGCGGGTTAGCTGAACCATTTGTAGGTAAAAACGGATTATTCTTTTTTATTCTTTAAGAATAGTCATTTTTTTTTTTTTTTCAATATAGAATTAGTTCATCAAGGGTAAGTATCCTGATTCCTGAGAGTTGTGGCTTAACCTCTACTACCAAGGTATTTGAAATTCCCTAAGTGCGTAGTTAAACTAAATAATGTTAAGATTAGCCGATGTCCATTAGTGGAAGAAAGCATATTTTTTTTCTTTTAAATTTAGGGAAGGCTTTAAGAAAAATAAAAAAAAAAAAATTTATGGAGTTGGTAAAACTAAACATCCAGCAATTTCCAAATTCAAACCTACCTGGAATTAAATAGGAAAGAAGGAAACTATCAGTTCCCATCCAAGTTTCTTCTTTCAAGTAAACTAACTAACTCAGGCTTCCCTCAATATCAACTGTGTCCTGAAACTAGGCGTATATTATCAGTGGATTAAATATGCTTCTTAATTCACTGTATAACCGAATTTTAATGCAAATAGCCATGAAAAGAAAAAAAATAAAGAAAGAAACTAATTTGTAGGTGTTTTCTGACACCTTCAACTATGTCAGCAATAATCAATGAGATGAAGATGCCTTCTACTTGTATGCTTACCTAAATAGTTGATCTCTTTGCAACCAATATGGTTAAACCATATCTTCCTACAGCTTTTGATGGTTGAACTATAATTTCTTATAATATTGAGTCCGAGATTCAACCCTTGTGAGAATGACTACATCTGATTATTAAAAACAAAGAATTTAATAGAAATGAATATAATATGAACATGAAAAAGATGCCAGTTGTTGGAAGATGATGGAAAAGCTTTGAAATTTCAGCACTCCCAAAACAAAATCAAATGCTTGATTTGGTGCTGGTCATCTCTTTACCAAAGGTAACATACATTCCTTGTACCTCAAGAGATTCTCCACCATAGATTGTCCAAATTGATCTAAAGAGGAAGTTAGAAAAGAGAGGAAGATGCACCAATTCCATGTGTTAAAACATCAAGACCTGTTCGTTTTGTCACAGTGAAGCCTTAGAGAAAGAGATTCTTTACCTGCTAACATTATCTCCCTTGATGTCAGTACTCATCAGTCGTCTTTTAAGAAAATAGCTGTAAAACTATTGTGAAAAAAGCAGAATTCACAAAACTTGTGTTATATACATTATTTTCCTTATCGAATAGCAACTTTTTATTGCTACTTCACTCTATCATGCATAGTTATAAATCCTACTCACCACATGAATTTATGAAAAAGCAGCAAATGTACTGAGACTCCAATAAGAAAGATTTGGGATAGCCATCAATCAATGGGATACATATAGCTTTAAAAGTTTAGATTCGATGCAAGCACAGTAACTCACAACCTCCTCAAATGTACAACAAACTAATTCCCTTACTTTGGACAATGTTTATAGTGCGTTACAATTCTCACATATCTTGTTGTGCTCGTAAGCATCAAGTATTTCTTCTAATGCCATAAATACAAAAACACCAGATTTCCGAGGCAGCACTATAACAATATAATCTGGAGTTTAATGGACATGGCACCTCACTTAGATCATGCATGGCTTCTAAGATTATAAACGCTCATTTCTAACAAACATTAAAGAATCAAATACCTCTGCCTAAATCCGCCACATTATTTATACAGCCAATTTTGCTAATATGTTCATGTCTAATATCTTGACTTCGTATGTGTCATCCATCTTCACTATACCATCAGCACCATCAATTCCAATAAGCTTTCCAGTAATTCCACGCAGTGCCCCATTCATTATCTTTATCTTATCAGACTTCCTAGGCCTCACAGCCTCCATATCTGCCGGGTGGGCTGTGATTATATCCCCATCCCCGGTTGTACCAAGAGCCACTTTACAAGAACCATCCTGTTTACAAAATAAAATTCTTATTATAATCACTATTTCCAAATTTAAATCAGCAAAAGTAAAAATTAAAGATTGTTTGAAGCTAAACTAAGATTAATCAAAAAGTGAAAATTATTTACCATCAACACCTCTCTGACAACTGCAACACAAGGGACTTCTCCTGGCCTCATGACGTTAACAAGAACATCGGGAAAGAACCAATTTCCTTCATTATCAACACCTGCTACAACACCATAATTTGTTAAGAAATCATACGTTAATCTAATTTTCAAGCCATTAATACATTGGGAAGAGCATTAACACCCAAAGATAGATAAGTGGGAATCATATTTTAAGGGGACCAATCAGGAAAAATGAAAATATTAAGAGGACCCTAATCGCTGCTAGAACACATGCTGTATTTTATTTATATCATCTATTGCATGAGAGATGCCATTCTTTGAATACCAGATTTTGACCTGACTTGGCATGTTTCCTCCTGTTAACTACATATCTATCACCCCAATCCTATTTTTCAATAATTCTTGCAAAAGCATTAGATAAATAATAGTGGGTTGATAAGAAAACTATGCTGGATGTTTAGCTATGCGATAGTACGAGTTTCAAACATCTAGGATTCAACATAAAAATTCAAACAGAAGTATATGCTGAAGAGATGATTACAAATTTTGGAGGAAAAACATGCTTATTTACATCGGCAAATGCTCATGTCTAAGTGAGTGAAGCGAAACATTATTTTGATGCTTTATAATCAATTATTTGCTCAACCAATGGCACATACAAATAAAAAATTATGTGGCAACTAAGAATCTTGGAGGATAACCCAGGATGATTAGCATTTAAAAAAAGTGTAAGGGAATAATCTAATCTTTAAAAAATTGCATTAAAAAGAGTAAAGTAGAGACCAATAAATTTTTTACATGCAAATTGTATCTTTATACATCATACAACAAAGAAACGAAAAGGTAACTTCATATTATCTATTGATTCAAGTTTGTTATCTTACCCATTGCGGGTGACAAAATATCCAGTCCAATGTTTCCAGGGGTCATTGGCTGCCCACCAGGAGTTCCAGGAAGATAATTTGCTGAATTAGGTGTCATTGGTTGCATGCCTGGAGTAGATGGAAGATAAGGGCTTGGGGCATTTCCTACAGTAAAGGATGAAAATGCAATCAACTAAATCAAGCTGCAGTTCAAAAATTATATCAATTCACTATGAACTGTCAAATCTTAAGTACCATATGTGGGACTGCTTTCTCCAGGAGTTCCGGCATCGCTGTAATTACCACCTGGAGTGTTTGCCCAACCAGATCCTGGAGTAGGTGCTTCATATGACCGGGCAGGAGTTCCAGGCTAAAGAAAACAGCAGAACGCAGGCAAAAATATAGGTTTTTTTATCCCAAGAGTTAATAATCACAACATTACCAAGCAGAGAACAGTTGCAGATTGGATTTTTTTTCAACAATAAAATATATATTAGATAAAAACATATACCTGGTATTGCGGAGTACCAACCCAAGAAGCAGGATTTGCATCCTCCCAATGATCTCTGAATCAAGAAAATAACATTATTAAAACTACTTCAGTTGCAAATTCTTTTTTGCCCATCACTCTAATCATCAAAAACATTCAAGAAAAGTGATCAATACGCCTAATACTTATCAATGAAGATGGATCAAATGGATATGACACAGTCCAAACATAAAGATTCAAGCTTAAAGCTTTGTATGAGGTCAGAGAAGTGAAGGCACTGTACCTTCAAGACTCTCTCTCCCTCTCTCTCTCTCTCTCTCTCTCTCTCTCTCTCTCTCTCTCAACACAACTTTAAGCATTGCAAATTATATACACGCAAATAAATTGAATTCTCATTATCTTGGAGATCCCAGCATAACACTTGTTTACATTTGTACACAATTTGAAATATATGAACAAAATTGAAAAATCATAATTTGGATCAAAAGGGAAGCCAATTACAATTATCCAAAGACCACCCATGTGCAAAATTGTGGCTCTTCCAAATCAAGTTGTTAGCAATTGTGAACCACTCGTAAATCTGTAACCTCCAAATTTTTTAATTTGGCTATTGCAATCCATGGGCTCCAAACACCTACGTAATTGTAGTTTCAAAAAATCATGGCAAACAGGAGATCAATTCTACATACTCCCCCTTTAAATTAAGTTTAAAATGTTATTCATCTTAAGCATGGAACATAAGTCCTAACTGTTTATTTTTAGTAGTGCTATAGTTAATAGATTAAAAACTTGAGAGCTGGTTGGAATATAGACAACAATAAAATTATCAATATTTGATTATTTTCTTTAATAAAACGGCAAATAATTTCAATGTATTAGATCTTGACATATTGAACAAGAATTATTGGCAATATAGATAGAAGATTAGTTTATCAAAAATAATATTTATTACCCCTTTGATTTGACACTCGAATAGTTTTTTTATCCAAACACCTTCACACATACCATAAGCAACTACAAGAAATTCAACTTCCGTTCTACTCTTAGAAACCACAAACTATTTCTTGCTTTACCTCTGAAATAAGATTATCCAACACAATGGAGCAATATCCAGATGGGGACTTTGAACCACCTACAAAGCTTAAGGCTAATTTGCATCAAGATTCATACCTCTCGATTTAATCTTTTTCTAAAGAATAACCTTTTTCCTTGAGTCAAACCTCCAATTACTTCAAGATTATGTACAAGTGCTACTCCTCCCTTGAATCATTCATACATTGGCTTACAATAATAATAGAGAACACAATATTTAATCCCGATTGTTTATATTAAACTACAAAAGAGGTCCAATCCAGATTTGCAGCCAATTATAAAGAACCTCAATTGTTTTTTGTCACAAGTGCAAAGATTTCATGTTAGTCAAAATGCTCTAAGCCTGGGTAAAGCCTTTTCTAGCCAATCCTTTCTTTACTTGTCAATCCTCCAATCTTCCTTATGCTTTGTTTTGAAGATCCACCTACACCCAAATGGGCTCTTTACAATGAAAAGATTGCAACTCTTCCAAGTTTGATTCTTCTCTGAGGCATGAAACTCTTCCATAACAGCTTCTTTCCATTCAGAAATTTTTAGTGATTCTTGGATGGTGGTTATCTGGATGATATCAAAGTTGGTAATGAAAGCTTAAAATTTTGGTGATTGGCCCTTATAAGAGATTCAACTATGAAGGGGTCATTAAGAGCATTATCTCATGCTTCTTCTGAGAGAAATTGGCCAATTTTAGTCATCCTCAGGTTGTTTCCTTGGCATATTTTTCAAAAAATGTGTTAGCTATTTCATGAATAATCGTTTGACTTAAGAGAGATGCCATAATGCGTACTCAAAATACTATTCAAGATTGTCAATTCTTAATAATAGATGTTTTTATTTAAAATCAATTTTGAGTCATATTATGCGACATGTGAATGTTAGACTAAATCCTATTATCTCGCTTCGCGCCTCTTCTTGTTAGCGCCTCATCCTCCCTTAAGAGAGATGCCATAATGCGTACTCAAAATACTATTCGAGATTGTCAATTCTTAATAATAGATGTTTTTATTTAAAATCAATTTTGAGTCATATTATGCGACATGTGAATGTTAGACTAAATCCTATTATCTCGCTTCGCGCCTCTTCTTGTTAGCGCCTCATCCTCCCCCTAGAATTAATTTTTTTCTTTGAAATTTTTGAATGCTTATCAATTCCATATTGTTCTTTAGATAAAAAATACAAGTTAATCTAGTATTATGATCAATGAAAGACAAAACCAATAAGATGCAACGTTATGTTTAATTACTATAGTATGAGAAGGTCCCTACCCATCACTATAAAAATCTACAAAGGGTTGTGATTCTTTGTAGGTTAGATTTAGTAATGCGCTTCTATTATGCTTTGCGAGAGGCATACTTCAATTGAAACAAATCAAAACTTTTATTTTTAAATACAGAAAGAAAAATATTTAATTAAAAAAAGAGGATTTCCTAATCTATAATAACAAAGCATTAAGACATTGTCAAAATTGGAGGCATTTAAGGACTTTAAATAAAGGAACTACCTATATTTAGAATCCACTAGAAGTCTTACTTCTTGGTAGTATCTACAATCCTAACCACTGCCTAACACTTCCAAACGTCCTCCAAGAAGTTCAAATCCTAAAATTCACACATTTAGAATTTTTAGTGATACAATTGTAGTTTTGAGTTAATTTCTAGTCAAGTTTAAAAAAAAAATAAAATAGAGAAATAGGTTTTCAATTAGCGTCATGGAACCTGACTAACAGCTTGAGATTGAGTTCCATTAGCAAGCTTGATGGTCCATCTATCATTACATGGGATAATCTTGGTGAACGGCCTTAGAGTCCCAGTTAAATGATCACGTGAGTTTATAATCTAGGCATTCAATATTTATTTTCTAATATTAAGAGCAAAAGAGACATCACATTTCTGTTATTATTTCGACAGAGCCTATTACATAGCTGGAGGAGAAATAAATTTGAGTTTACCCAACTATTTCTGGTCACTCAACTTGTTCTTTGCTAAAGAATGAGGATTCAGTTGTGTTGAGATTATGCTTCTCTTCTAAATATATTTTATTATTTTCTTAGTTTGGAGGCTTTCAAGTTTCCATATTTGTCATGAATTGACCAACAAGCATCATATTTGTAACTAACGATCACACCAAAAAACTAACCTTTTCTTTTTGTAATTCTTCAAATGTTGTTATCCACAAACAAGATTGTGTCGTCTTCATTGATGGGAGATTATTGATGACCCATCATGAGCTTTTACAATTTTATTTTCTTCACATAATTGCAAATGCTCCTTGAAGGCTAGGAGATTTCTTTTTGGATAAGATTATTCCTTAAAAATCATCCAAGTTACAAATAGATGATTAACTTAAATAGTCATCTCTTTTCAACAATCTTTTTATATTTAGCTAATTTTTCAAAGCAATACCAGAGGTGTTTTTCAAATATATCTAATTGTTGAAATGAAAGTCGAGAATGTTGAACTATTAAGTGATGGAAGATCCCCTTGTCTTTGATCATGAATGATGTACTTTATCTCAAATAAATCGATCATACTTTCAATGCATAATAAGCCTCCTTTACATTTGCAGATATGCTTAGTGGCATCCTACATGAGAAAATTGTCCCCACTTTCATTTGGCATGAAATTAAACACGACTATGTTATTATCAATCTTCCATTATATTTTAGATCTTTCATCTTTGGTTGGAGGGCATCTTTGTTAAGGTACTTATCTCTCCCAATCTAAGAGACAAATATGAGCATGGATTGAGTCTATTGGGAATAATTTTGGCCATTCAATCTGACAGGTAATGATAATTGGAGAACTTTCGGCATTGGTAATCACTAAAGAAACAGATCTTCTCAAATGCCAACAAAACACACTTTAGGTTTGCAGGTATGCAAACCTTGTTTTGATACCATATAGAATTTAGAGTAAAAGGAATTAAATTCAATATTTTAAAACTAGGTTTATGACTCTTCCAAATCAGGCCCCACCAAATCATATTATTAGTAAACTGTGGACCAGTCCTCAACCTGTGGCCTAGATCTAGCTATAGAAATTCAAACTCGTACACACTATGTGGACTCCAGACTTATAATTATGACCTGAGATAAATCATGGCAAGGGACCAATTCTCCACACCATACGTATATGCATTTTTGTAATACTAATAGGAGAATAATTATTCTTTTCCCATTAAGATTACAGTGAGTCTTTCCCTCAATATAATAAGGATATTTGGTTTGATGTTATCAATATAACATTTTTTTATGCTATCTTTATCTTGATCTTGGTGGCTTGATCTTGGTGGCTCAAATATATGAGGAAAAAAAGTTAAGGTTATAATCATCATTGATTATTCAAAATAATGTTACACTGAGCACACTCTATATAAAAGATAATCTTATAATATGAATAATATTGTTATCTAAATAGTGCTGTTTTTTTATATAACATCAAACCAAACAACCCTTATCCAGACATGAATTTCAAATATAAGATTAAAAACATCCATTCTCTTTGCCAACATCCAAAGTTGCAGTAATTTTTTTTTTAAAACTTATCTTCTTCTTCCTCACTTTGCCAGCATCATTGAAAGAATCAAGGGAAACAAAAAAATCATTACGTAAAGTGTAATTCACTTCTTGGGAACCCTAGCTTAAGAGCATTCCCTATAGTACTAGTTCCCTAAGTTTGCCTTAAGCACTTGGTATTTGCTTTCAAGGTGATCATATCACCCAGTTTTGTAAATAAGTCCAGAATAAGCTTTGATGTAATATGTTCTTTTATTACCCATCAAAAGAAGAAATGAAACACATTAACTACCGTCCACAATTGTTGAACTCCAGGTTGTAGACATCCTGAAAAAGATATCAATTTAAAGCATCTAGCAGTTGCTTTAGGACCAAGGATATCTACCGAGTGAACTCAAATCTACTATGTGGTTTCATCATCCATCAAATCAAGAAGAGGTACAAATCTTCAATAGATAAGCATTTAGATATATAAATCACGTGGCATAATATTACAAACTCTGAAAAAAAAAAGACATCTAATAATTTGATCAGAATAATACAGAAACTTATAATGGCTTGAGAATCGATGGAAAAGCAATTGAATAAAAAACTGCAAACAGAAGAAAGTAACCTTGGAGGACTCATGGGAGCCCATGCTCGGTTCCGCATAGGTGTCCTCATGCCATCATGGATGGGAGTTGCTGTATGAAACAAAATCATGATTTAGAAAAACGATCATGATAATGCAAATGATTGAGTTTGATCGGTAACAGAGAAGGCATGACAACATTCAAATATACCCTATTTTTTAGTTAAGAAAAGGAGGAAAGATAAATGCTCTTTAGAGATCCCAAACACAATTTTTCTAGATTATGTCATATGATAAAAGAGAACACACTCACCTCCAGCATCTCTCATAGGAGTTTGATATGGGTGAAGTGGTGTTCGAGATGGATGCATGGGTGTCTCACTTCCAAAACCATATCGAGAAGGTTCACTATCAGGCAATACAATATAAGGTAAGAACATGATTTGCCTTGGAGAAACTAAAAAAAGGATAAAATAAACTATATTACCGGAAAGGGGTTGCAGAACCTGGTGTGTCCGAGATATCATCTCTTTTGACTAATAAAACATCATTAAGAAACGTGTGACTAGAACAGAATCATTTGGAAATTTTGGTAAAGTAGAAACATATAAATTAAGCTAACCTGCAACTATCTTCATTTGTGAATCCAATTCGATGCGAACAAAGGAACCAGTGACCTCCACAACACGACCACGATATCCTTTAAAAGGCCCTGAACGAATTTTAATAGTTCTTCCAACTAAAGCATCATTTCCTCGTCCACCACCTCTATTATCCCTTCCACCACCTATCAGATTTAAGATAATAATCAGCCATAGAAATTTTTACCTCCTAAATTTGGTTCACAAATTAATCATCATAATGTTAAAAGCTTACGATCCATAGGTCCTCTAGGTGGTCTTCTTGGAGATTGAAGGTAAGGAGATGAAGGCCTCAAACCAAATCTTGCATCAAACTTATCACCACCCTATCAATATATCAAATATTATAATACAAGTAAATAGGAATCAAAGCTATCGTCATCACTTGTCAACATCAGCAGCATTATCCTATTAATAACCATCAAGAAAAAAAAGCAAAAAATAGAAGTGTTTTACTGTTTTGAGACATACATGTTTAACATTGTCTCCACCAACAACGATACACGATTGTGCTTTCACACAAATAAAACCTGCATGCTTAAGGTGATGCCGATCATGAATAAACAGGATTCCTCTATGAATGTGTTGAACGGGTCCTTGCTTCCCCTGATTTAAAAGGTTTTATAAAGAAATAGATATACAAACACTCGCAAGTAAAAAAGGTTTGAAATGTAAAATAATGAATAATAATAGATACCTTACATGGTCCCTCGAGGACTCTAACAATATCCTTCACAGAGACTATATTTTTTCTATTATCTTGTGCATTGGTACGTCTCTCAAGTTTACTCTTTATTTCCCTCAACTTAACAAGTACAACTTCGGGTCTATCAGGAACTCCCTTAAGTACCTTTGTCAATTCAATAAATCAATAGAAAATAAGTAAAAGTATGAGGTATGCTATGCTAAAAAAATAAGCCTCCTCTTACCTGAAAAGCTTCACTCTCCACACGTATAATCACACCAAATGACATGTTGCTGCAATTTATTTAAGTAAACATAAGAAAAAAATTATAATTGTTAAATTATAATCTTTTAAAAGAATAATTGTGACATACACAAGAAGGACAAGATCTTGCAACTCATAATCCCCCATTTTTGTAATTCCAGAAGTAACTTCAGAGCTCTTAACAACGTTATCTGCAAAAACACGGATCTAGTAGAACAAAAGCAAAAACAAAAGTGTTAAATAGTGGATAAAAATAGCCTATAAAAACTTTTTTGACACATAAAAAGGCTTACATCTTCTTTTGTGGTATCTGATGCAATTATCAGCACATGGCCATCAACCTTCACAACCATACCAGTTGCACCTTCTTGCACTCCCGAGACAACTTTCACATGATCTCCTAATTTAAAATATTTGCAGAGTTCCTTCTCATTGAAAGCCAAAGTTTTCTATAATCAAAAGAAAAAAAACAATTACCATCATATTTCAATTAATTTACATAAAATTTTGAATATGCAAGTGATCAAATAAGTATTTACTGGTAAGCCAGCCATCTCAGGCTTGACGTGAACAGTATCTTCTTCAACTTTTTCAACCCATCCCTTTAAATTTTTCAAATCTCCTCGTACAACTACAACTGCATCTCCTTTCATGAAATGGCCTTTCTTTCTATTTGAAATTAAAGTTGATAAACTAGCCATGTCAGCATCACCATCGCCATCACCATCACCCCCAGGTTTTCGGAATTTGTCTAGTTCATCAAAAGTTGGTTGTATATTCTGAGAGCGGATTGATTTCATTGACACTGTTTTATAAAGAAAACCATCCTTGAACATCATGTTTTCAACCATTTCAAAATATTCCCCAGTATCTTTATCTCTCCTGCGCTCCACACGAATATGCATCTCCCTAGATACAGAAAACAACAAAATAAAATTAGTACTAATTCCACAGAACAAACAAATATAGGTTGAATCAAGAGCAATAAAGTACCTAGCTTCATCAATGTTGAAAAACCGAGGTGGGGGAACAAATGCTTTCTTTTTAACCACATCTCTATTTTCCTAAAATGGAAAACCAATGTATAAGATAACATAAGAAGAAGCACACCACGCAGATATGCCATGAAACAAAGAAGATAATACTCACATAATAGGATAAAAATAAGCAATTATAAGCATTAAATGGTCAAAATCATAAAGAGAGGAATCAACTCATAAAAAAGAAAATAATAAAGAGAAAATTATAATGGCTTCTAGTAAGATGTTCAAACATAACATAGACATATGGGTGCAACCGAGTCAAGCCGACATGCGAGCCGGCTCAAGCTTGACTTGTTAAGCTCGCGAGCCGAGCTTATCGAGTTTTGAGCTCGAACTTGAGCAAGATTTCGAGCTTGTTGGCTTATCAAGCTCGAGTTCAATCCTCTAGATGCTCGGCTCGAATTCAAATGGAGGAACTGCGGGGAAGGCTCGAAAGTGGGCTCGGACGACATAACCACAGGGCCAGCAGGCTTGGATGGGCGGAATTACAAGACAGGCAACCTCGGACTGCGGAATTGCGGGGCAGGCTCTAACTCAAAAGGAGGAATTGCAGCGAGAATGGGGGGGTAGTGAAATCGGAGCTTGAGCCGGGTAATCGAGCCACTTGATGAACCATTTTCGGTGAAACAAGCCTAGCTCGAGCTCGACTCGAATTCGAGCTTGGAATTTGGCTTGCGAGTCGAGCTCGAGTTAGGCCTAACTCGAGCTCAACTTGACTCATTTGAACCCCTACATAAACAAGTCTACAAATTTGAAACATTTAGATAAGCATGTGCAAAGATATGTGTGCATAATCAATTCTTTAAATGATTTACAAAATGCATAGCTTAAGCTCTTGGCCATCTAAAGATTCTTACTAACTTCGTGAGCCTTTGATTTAGCACCTTCCATCATACAAACATAATGTGGCGTGCACCAAAATGAAAAGAGAAGGATAACTGCAAGCCAAGCAGGCGATGTGTTCTGCTGTAGAAAATAGTCATCGATGCTCCAAAAAGTTGGTTATCCCAAAGAGATTCAAAGATGATTATCCATGATCATGAATCCAGGAATGCATATATGCATGGGGAAAGGATTACTTTTTTGAGAATCCACGCAAATCAAAATTGTGATATTGAAGGATTTTGACAAGCAAAAAAAAATGAAATAGATTGCAGCATAAATGTGCCATTATTACAAATATGCAATTTATGACAACATACACTATAGAGAAAATATTTACAACCTAATCATGACATTTAAAAAAATTGAAAATCTATAGATCTATGAACAAACACCCATCCATCCATAGGCGCACTAAATTCATGCATAAATTTGTAAGTGTATGCACCTTGTAAATGAGAAATAATGTCCTAATCAACTAAAACAAAATGTATTATAGCAACAAAGCACATTTCAAGACCATTCTCAACTTTTCCAGGAAATAATTGGAACATGAAAATGATGTTGAAAATGATAAGTTGAACTATTCTTAAATAAATAACAAGTATAAATTCTTACCAACTTATTAGCAAGATGTTGTAAATCAATTCTTGGAATTAGCTTCACTGTCACCTTTTGTCGCACATTGTCTACATCAACAACCTGTAGAAGTAAATCTAGGATGTTAGAGAAATGTTCCATGTTAGACAAAGTAAATGGCACCAAAACACATGCATACCTTGGCAAGGTCTCCTTTATAAATTCCAAGTTTCATCCTAACCCATGTGTCCCTGGAAATCTCAATAGTTTTGCTTTCAACAGAAAGAACATCCGTCATTTCTTTGATAGGAACTAGCATCACCTTAGCTGAACTATATATCGTGCGCAAACCCTTACAAGCCTGATCATTAAAAACCAGCATTTCACATAATCTTTGAGCATATTCTTATGAGGAAAAGATTGAAACACAACCACACAATAGTTTTATATGAACGGAGTTATACAAACCTCCTTCACATGGGCTTCTTTATCAGCTTCAACATATATGTAATTTTTAAGATGGTCCAATGCAACCACTGATCTAATCTGCAGGTCAGGCCTGTCTATAAACTTTTGCATGAGGCATATTGCAGTTTCACGCTCACGACCAATCTGGCATTTATACAAAACAAGTGTTGAGGAACATGATAAATACAATAAAATAGGTAGAACAACTATCACAAAAAACATTATAGATGGATGAAAAACCTACAGCACATTTCACCATCCACAACTTGGGGTCTTTTACCGACGGCAGTAGAGCTTGTTGTTCAACCTCAGTGGCATCCTCACCATATTCAATGTGACTTGACTTTGCATATCTTTCATAAACTTGCCTCTCCATCTCTTCAACATCCTCTTGATCCTCTGGCATCATATTCAATGGACGATGTGCTCTTCTACCACGACTTTCATCAGGCAAGTCAGTTCCAGCATCATTAATAAAATCTGCAATTGTTTACATAACCATTGATAATTATGCTCTTGTTAATGGTTACATAAATCTACTGGTCAAGTTTACTAGCAGAAGGATGCGACTAAACTAAGAGCACACAATTTTATTGTGGTTGCAAAATCTACTTTCCAAGTGCATACAGACACTCACTAAAAATATAAAGTAATTTAAGTTAAACAGCACATGATAAGAGATCAACAAAAGAAACATTACCGTCTTCGGCCTCCTCGTCTTCCTCTTCCTCATCGTCACTATCGACCTGGGCCTCAAGGTCGAAGAACTCAGAACCCCTCTTCCGATGTTTCTGGCCGCGGCCACCGTATAGCTCCTCATCCTCGTCCTCTTCATCCTTGTATTCCTCGTCATCATCGTCCTCTATGGCTGCATCGTCAATGAAATCGGACCGACCACGCTTCCTCCCACCTGTCCTCCTCCTGAAGTCTTCGTCCTCTTCTTCCTCTATCTCTTCATCATCCTCCTCCTCTTCATAATCGTCTTCTCGGTGGCGAGACATCCCGTTACTCCCTCCGCTTTAAGATTTGACGTGATTTGCAAAATCCTGAGTGGTCGGATCAACAAGATTAAAAGGGCCTGTTTGAATGCAGGATTTAGGCCGGATTTAAATATAATCCTGTCAAACGCGAAAAAAACAAAAAAAAGCAAAATCTCACGGTAAGTCTCGAAAAATTATTACGTGCGGCGTCTCAGCTCTACTTCACGACATTTTCGAAATTTTTGCCCTAAATCCCGGTTTTCGTAAATCCGGCTCTTTGGCGGATTTTGCCGAAGAAGTGCGAGGAAGGAAGAACTATCGTTACCTTCGCAGCGAGCGAGCTCCCGTCCTTACTTCCGATCCAACAGGAAGAACGTCGTCGAAATTTCGTGAAGGGGGCGAAGAAGATTTTAGCGGGTAAGGTCCCGTGCAGCAACAGCAAAAGATTTTACGATCGAAGCCTTCCTTTCGAATTCTTGGGAAAGGTTTTCGTAAATTTCGCTCGATGACCTAGGCTTCAGCGGAGGCGAAGGGGGTTGAACGAAACCTCCGGAGCATGAGACGGTTGATCACAAGCGCGAGTCGATCCTAAGGCTTCGTTTGTTTTTTTTTTTTGATTTTGTAAAACACAGTTTTAAAAAATATTAGGTCAGGAAATGGAGTTTTCTAACGGAGAAGCACATTAAAAAGCATTCTCAAAACTGCAGAAAAATGAGAAAAAAGAGTTATTGGGAACGTGATTTGACGAACCAAACAACACAAAAAAAAAATTCCTCCGTTTTAGGAAACGGAGAAGGCAAAAAAACGCTCAAACAAACAAAGCCTAAGAAAATTCTCAGCATATTTATCACCGGTTAGAGTGATTTTTTTTTTGTTAGATTTATATACATACCATTATATTTATAATCATTTGCATATCTAATACCTAAAAATTTAATATTACTATTATACCGCCTAAAACTCATTTTATATATCAATCATACCACTTCGTTACGTCGTCCATCACGGCGCATTCTTCCCGCGGAAATTTTTCGTTCGCAATTAGCTCTGCTCTGCTCGCGAACACAGTCCATCGAAATTAGCTCTGCTCTGCTCGCGAACACAGTCCATTGGAATTCCCTCTGGTTGTTGCTCGCGTATTCTTCCTTCTACTCGCTGCTTGCGTCCGGCTGATCGCGATTCGCTAGCTCGGCTGCTTGCGATCGCTGGAGACATTCCTCTGCTCGGCTGCTTGCGATCGCTGGTGGCGATCCTCTGCTCGGTCAGTGTGATTCCCAACGGTAATTGTGAGCACCCGGTGACGGATTAAGGTACATTATATTTTCTCTGTGGTTTTCTTTGTATTTCTCTGTGGTTTTCTTTGTATTTCTTTATGTTCATTATATAAAGGTTTATAGAACCTTGCTCGAAGCGCCCAAATCTACTCCTGGGGCCAAGGTGGAGAACAACAACTTCTGTATGTCGGTCCACTTCAGATGTGTTGATGAAAAGGTACTGAATCATATTATAGTTCTAAGCTTTTTTTTTTTTTTTTACTTTTTTGGTTTTTTTTTTAAGAAGATGAGTTCTTTCTCTCTTCCTAGAGATGGAGAGCTTTAGCAGACATAGTATATAGAAGCATCCAACGATAAGAGTACCCAAAGCACTCGGAAGATGTGTTCGAAGCAGATAGAGTATATTCATGTTGTTTTTAAATATGGAGGGCAATGGGTTCAAACTAGTGAGCAACATAGAAAGAGGTATGACGGTGGCAAACAAAGGAGTGTTAAATTTGAGAAAGGTCAACTTACTATTTTTGCGCTCAGATGCGAGGTTCTTCGAATATGTCCATGGCTTAAAGGGCACCCATATAATATGTATTATTATATATATGGTACATCACCAAAGGAATATAAAGACATAATCTGTGACATTCATGTGGCTGAGTTCATAGAAGCATCCAATGATAATTTGTGTGGTGAGATAGTCATTTCAGTACATGAAGTTGAAGGACAAGAATCAATTTCTGATATTAGGGAAGTTATGACTTCCGAGCAAATAGTTGAATGTTCTTTTAACGAAGGTATTTCAATTGCTCCAAGTTTATCTTATAAAGATATAGCTGTTGGCACCTTCTTTCCTGATGCCAAACATTTCAAGCATGCTCTACGATCGGTAGCCATCAAGGAGAATTTTGGAATCATGATAAAGGCAAGTGACAAAACACGTGTGATTGCTACATGTTCTTATGAAGGTTGCAAATGGAGAATTCGAGCTTCTCTGTGTGAAGACATTCAAACTTTTGAAATTAGGAGAGTTTATGGTGTTCACACTTGTCCTGGGATCAATCGCGTTGGTAATAAACTAGCCACAACTGCATGGGTTGCCAATGAAATTGAAGATATAGTTAACAGAAATATTGACATTCCTCCGAAAGACATCAACAACAATTTAGAGAAAGATTATGGTCTTTCTTTACCTTACATGAAGCTGTGGAAGTCTAGGGAGCATGCTCGTGACAATATATTTGGGTCTATAGATGAAAATTATAAATGGGTTCCAACATTACATGCAGAATTGCTTAATAGAAATCCAGGTTCGCATATCACATATTCTTATGATAAGCTTGACCATTCATTTAGAAGATTTTATGTTTGCTTTAAGGTTTGTGAAGATGGATTCTTATATGGTTGTAGACCGCTAATTAGTTTGGATGCATGTCTTTTAAAATCAAAGCATTTGGGTATGCTTTTATCAGCTACCTCACTTGATGGTAATAACGGTTTATTCCCATTAGCATTCGTCGTCGTAGAGACTGAATCCAAACAGACATGGCTATGGTTCCTGCAGAACTTGGCAGAGAGTGTTGGCCCACACATAGAGCCTCTTTCATTTATCTCAGATATGGAGAAGGGTTTGGGTGATGCTATAAAAGAAATTTACCCTGTTGTTGAGCATAGAATATGTATTCGTCCTCTGTGGAAGAATTTGAAAAAAAAAAATTCATTGCAAAGACGGGCATAAAATTCAAGGTTTGGTTTGGGCAGCTGCAGGAGCATATACTAGCACATAGTACAATGACAAACTTTCAGAACTTAGTGTTTTGAGCCCAACTATCTATGTATATCTTACAACATTACCTTATAAGTGGTCAAGAAGCCAATTCATTTTAGGCATATACCATGCTACTAATACAAGTAATAGTGTCGAATCATTCAATGCATGGATTGTAGATGCTCGAACAAAGCCAGTTGTTGACTTAATTGACACACTTCGTGGTAAACTTATGGAGCAAAGGTCGGCGCGAAAGATGATGAGCATAACATGGCAACGTGAATTAGTTCCTCACGCGGAAGATCACATAAGAGAAATAACTACAAGAAAAGAGCATATGTTAGTTCTCCAGTCAACTAATTCGAAGGCTGAAGTAGAATCTGTGCATTCAAGACATATTGTTGATGTTGAATCTAAAGAATGTACATGTCGAGTTTGGCAATTAACAGGGCTTCCATGCATTCACGTTGTTGCCTTTATTGGAATGAAGGAGCATCCACTATGGCATACATATGTTCATGATTTGTATTTCGTTTATAGGTAAATTCCCATGATAAATACAAATGTTCATGATTTGCATACATTTCCATGGCATGATAAATACTTCGTTATGTGTTTTAGGTACATGATGGCATACGAGGGAGCTATTGGTACATTACCTGATAAAGATCAATGGCAAGTAGTTGAAGATGTGGTCGATATTGGAGCGTCTAACACTTCAAGACCTAGAGGAAGACCCAAAAAAAGAAGATTACCAAATTTCCTTGAGAAAGATAAGAAAGTGCATAAATGTAGCAAGTGTTCACTTTGGGGGCATCATCGGAGCACATGTAAGAACCCATTACATAAGATCAACAATGATACAATGACACAACACGAAAACCCATTATCAAAACGTAGAAAGTTGGAAAGTATACGGACAGCTAAGATTTTCAACGATGGAGTAGAGCTTGAGTACCTACATGTTGATGGGTTTTGAGAATCAAAATTATAAATTTTGGCTGTTTTTGTAATTTTTGGCTGTTATATTTGTATACTTTTGTAATTTTTGGCTATTATATTTGGCTATTATTTTTTGCTGTTTTTGTAATTTTTGGCTGTTCCAAACAGATATTACTATTCTGAGCAAAAGTATACATATAACTTTTGAATTCTGATGTGTTCACAATAATCTGAAAGCATGAAGTTGAATGAAGCATGATTTCTGATGTGTTAACTTGGTTCTGATGTGTTCCAAGCATGTGTTAACCTTGTTCTGATGTGTTTACTCCAAGTTGAATGAAGCATGAATTCTGATGTGTTCACGATAATCTGGATGCATCTTTTGAATTCTGATGTGTTCACGGGTTCACGGGTTTGTGATGCAATTGATTTCTGATGTGTTCACAGGTTAGTGAATGAAGCATGAAGTTTACTAGTAAACAACTTGGAGTAAACAACAATTGATTTCTGATGTGTTCACGCGTATATTCCAGTTTTCTGCTGTATGTTCACGATTTTGTGAATGAAGCATAAAGTTCTTCCTAGTTTACATCAAATGAACCTTGAATCAAATTGACTTGCACGTAAAGCATGAACAAGGTGATCAAAATTTGAAGAACAAGGTGAAATTTCATTCACTAGTAAACAACTTACAAAATGTTGCAATAGACTTCATCAAAACATTCATGATCAACTACACAACAACCATACAATAAACTTCTACATCATTTGGACTACTTCGACACGCAACAATAAACTAAATAAATATGGAAAGCAATGTCAACAAGAAAAACACCAATAAAGACTTTCATCAATAAGATGATCAAGTCTTGCTTCTTAGACATCCTAGCTTCAAAGCCTTCATCTTCATTAGGTACACGAGAAGTTGTCTCTTCTACGTCGTCTGTCCATTTAAAGTACCTGCATGTTGGAACTCGTTCAATATGAATTAGGATGTTAAGCCTAATTAAATGTCCCAAGGCTAACCAAGAGGGGGGGTGAATTGGTAATTTAATTAAAAAATTATACTTCTACTCTTGGATTTTTAGAAAACCTTTTTAATTATTAATGCAAGTTAAATTTAAAGTTTAAAAAATAGAACAAAATCACTTAAATATTCAAAACATTTAAAGCAATACAAGTACAAAACACAAGTATATAAACTATAAAAATCTTCATATCACATTCCAAATGTCTCACAAAAAGATTCGTTCTCAACATTTTACCCATATAGCCATTTATATGCGTACAAAAAAAGAAATACAAATCATCCAGGACGATCAAGAGATCGTACAGTACGATATGTATTGGAAAAATTTAAACAATACGCAATCAGTCAAAACCAACTATCAATTTGCTACAGAAATCGTACAGTACAAAATATTTTCATCCAGTACGAATAGAATACGTAGAAAAATTTGCATGATCGATCTAAAACAGGGAATCAGATGTGAAGACATTTCAAAATCATACAAAAACACAAAAAAAAGTTAGAAAAACACATAAAATAATAATATTTGGAATCATCAAAACTATACAAGTTGCAAGAATGTAAAACATGCAAATAACAACTTTCCTAACACTGCAATCGTCTTCCGTTCGATTATTCATGCATCTATAAAATTGCCTTCCATAATTGGGTCCACGGTAGCAAGTATATAAAACACACTTAAGATGACAGTAGCAGTAAACTTGATAATGTGGGCGCCTCATAGCAGATGAATTTGATGAACTCATTTGAAGCAACTATGCCGTCAAACTTGTTATTATGTTCACTGCTGCACAAAAACAGAAACATAGATTTCAATTTGATGAACTCATTTGAAGTAAACTGAAGAATACTACTCTAAGTAAACTGAAGAATACTACTCTATAGGAGCATTAAACTGAAATCATTTGAAATAACCTAAAGAACACTTACATTTCATTAAAATTGCATTCCTACAGATTAATGCTTTAACGGTAACATCGGGATAAAGAAATTAACAAAAAAAAAAAAATTGAATATAGAACCACCAAAACATGCTATGTCTGAAGAATACTCCTGCTCCGGCTGAAGAAATCCACACCCGCTTTATTCAGTTGCCTGAGTATACTACAGCTTCTACAGATTTATCCTCACGAACGACGAATGAGCTGAAGAAACATAGGGGAAAATAGACGATATTGGGGAGTTTAGGAACAGATCTTACCTTTCTTCTCCTTCCAGTGGTAAGAGACGAAGGAGCACGGGATTTCCTCAAGCGTTCGGTTGGCGTTCGGTGGGAAGAGCCGGATGTTTTTAGGGATTTTAACTGCTAAGCGGGCGTGAAGGTGAAACCGAGCGAACGGAGTAAGACGGAGTGGTATTTCTTAGGTTAAGTTTGGATTAAAGTGGTATATAAGAAATATTTAAGTTTTGAGTGTTAAATATGTAATACATATGTTATAAAGTGGTATGTATGTAAAAATCCCTTTTTTTATATTTATGTCATACACAATATTGAAATCCAAGACCTTCTAGTTGATAGCCTAACCTCCAAGCCAACAGATCAAGATGAGTTGTGTGATTCGAGTGATCATAGTTATGCCTAAATAAAAAATCATAATTATGATCTAAAAAATAAAGTCGTAAGAAAGATATCTCAAACAAAATCTTAGTCAATCAAATTCAATCATAAGTGAAAATCAATTTAGATTAATTCATCAAATTTAGCTCAGAATCAAATTAAGGCTTCGTTTAGTAAAAATTTTTTATTGCTTCTTAAAGAAGTTTTTTTACTACAAATAATAATATTTTGATATTAAAAACCTGTTTTAAGAAGTAACAAAAAAATCGTCCTAAACGAAGCCTAAATTTCAAGTCAGGCTTATAAATTTTCAAATCATTCAGCTTATTAGTTTAGGTTTAATATAAAACCCAGCCCTATTTACAACTTATATTTACGAGAATACCTCAATTCAAATAATCATGTGAAATAATTTTTTAAGAATTAACCTTATTATGGTTAATTAATTTAATTTATCATATAATATGAATGAAAATTAATGTGATTTTAGTCATAAAATTCAAGTGGAATGTTCTATATCAATGAAAAATTGTAGTTTTTTTTTTTCAATAGATCATGCAGTTGCTTCCTCTTTTTTTTTTTTTTAATTCATGCAGCTGCTTCCTCTTATATGATATATCCTAGAAAAAACACCTTGAATTGGGTTAATGAAAGATGCTTCAATGAGAACTAATTGATCAATTTGAACTTTAAGTGAGCTAGCGTATTTGATGAACTGCTAGATACTCATTCATATAAGGCTCTTTTATGATTGTTTATTCATATACTTATATATGTTTCTTAAAAAAATTAAAAACTCTTCATATATAATTATATATGTTTGTATATTCATATAATTATCTTTTTTATTATTTGCTTTCAGGGTGTCATTATATATATATTGGGTGAGTATTCCTTATGTTTCTTGACACTCTCTTGAGCAACAATACAACAAACCTATAGCGGCAATGCGCTAAAAAGTAATAAGATTCATTTTATCGAAGATTGATTTAAAAATAACATTAACGAAACTCTTGATGTTAATTGAAATGTTGTATATATTGTAGTTGGTAACTAAGGAAGTAACAATCATGGCATCATTGTAAGTGTTCTCTACAATTGGCCTATTGACCTCACTACTAAGTGTAAATTGTATATTGTTTATTATGTTTAAGTGACAATGTGTTGTTTTAGGGTTTAGGATATGTATGTGAAATGTTTAGAAAATGACAAAAAATTATAAGTGTTGAATTGCACTGTGACACACGTGTATATCACGCCCAATGTCGAGTTCAATCACGCTAAGGTGCTAGTTTTCAAAGTTACAGTGCTAGTCTTCTCCATTTTCAAGCGCCGTTGTGGAACCATAGTCAGTGTCATGGCGTAACACAGTGCCGCTATGCCAAAGTTCAACACTACAATGTTGGTTGTCTCAAGAAAATGGATGTCCCAGTGTCATACCTTTCAACACCTCAACATAGGATCTTTCATTCGAACTTTTTAGAAGACCGTGACGGAGTAGTTATCAACACAAGAAACTATGCTAACTTAGCCAGAAGACTCATCATTTCAACTGGTAACCGTACCACATCAACTAGTGCCACAACAAAGCAGATTTTATAACACCGAGGCACTAGTTCATTTTTCTCCGCCGCGCCACCACCTTGTTGAGCAATGCGTCTCTTAGGCGTTCTTGTATTTACTATAAAAATATTTTCAGTTTTTTTTGTGAGAGAGTTCTATCACTTTGAGTGAAAATCATGTTTTTGCAAGTGTTTTTTTTTATTTTATTGATATGGAAGATATTATAGTTTAGAATTGATATGGAAGGGAGGTTAGGAAAGTACAAGATACTTGTGTAATTAGTGTGCTTACATTAATTTCATATTAAAGAAAATTTAAGCATATTTCAAAATTTTGTAAGTCACATTCTAGCTCATACTAATAGCATGTGCTATCATCTATAAGCTCCCATCAAGATTTTAGTGTCGTTGCTAGGGAAGTAATGTGTGTAGTGCAACTTTGATTATACTGTTGAAACAAGTGTATAATTAGATTTACTTATATCATGTATCTTTATTTTTTTTTAATAAAAAATTTAAATAATCCAAAAAAGTATCATGTTTGATTGTTTAGTTGCAATTTTTAGCTTTATAATTTCATTGTATGTTTGGTAAAGCTAGTAAGGAGTCCTTGTTGTTTGATCCACCCTTTCAAAAATCTTAAAAAAAAAATAATAATAATATCTAACCCAGTACAAGATTATGATCATTTTAGACTAGTTATGGAGTATGCTAATCCTATAGCATAAGGAATCCATTAGAGTATCAATAGACTCACTATCTAAGCTAACAATTTTGAACTGAAACCTATCATAATTCAAATAATTCAAAATTTTTAATTTGGGGGAACTCTTGTTGAAGATCCCAATTCAAACTTAATTAATTCCTTGAAAATATGTGTAACATTTAAGTGTAATGATGTCAGCAAATATGCCATTAGATTTAGATTGTTCTCATTTTCTCTAAGTGACAAGGAGAAAATGTGATTAAATTCTTTGCCCCCGGCTCTATAACTAGTTGGAATGAGTTGGCACACAAAATTGTAGCTAAGCAT